ATGCTGGTTGGGGTGGGGCTCTTACTCTGAGTGATCCAGAGGCAAGGCTGACTGTTGTACTACATTCCTTTTTTAAATTTATACAATTCAACTTTTGTGATCACGAAATTTCCTTCGTTGGGTGAAACCGCAGCAGTGGTTTGATTCTATCGGGACCACGCTAGTAAGGGTTTGTTATGGGGAAAATGGCTGATAGAAAGACGATTCATTGTCATNCGTATGAATTTTGGTAGATCTCCGAAAATCATCGGACAACATGAGTTCAAGTGTTTCTGCAAATCGTCATGCAAATTGGAACATGGGGTATCTCAAAGGTGTAATTCAACACTTGTCCATCATCTTTTAACCGTATTAATGTGTCCTGTGAACAATTGTAACGTTGCTTGTGCTTCCTGGAAACATACGCAAGCCTTTTGCTACTCAATATTCCTCATACCGAGCGCACAATTGGAAGTCTCAATTAGTCTCGTTCTGAAAAAAGTTTCTTGCTTCCGTTTACTCTCCCTTGTGTAGAGAGAGGAACGAGTCGATTATGCTGGTTGGGGTGGGGCTCTTACTCTGAGTGATCCAAAGGCAAGGCTGACTGTTGTACTACATTCCTCTTTTGAATTTATACAATTCAACTTTTGTGATCACAAAATTTCCTAGGTTGTGTGAAACCGCAGCAGTGGTTTGTTCTATCGTTGTTGTCAGCTAAGGACCCGCTAATAAGGGTTTGTGATGGGGAAAATGGCTGATAGAAAGACGATTCATTGTCATATCCAATTCTAGGTAGCTAATTTTTGCACCAGCTTCCCACAAACGCGAAAAATTCGCTGTTGAACAGGGAGGGATTGTGGGTTTAGTAGCCAACAGTACCATATTGTATGCTTATGATAATTAATTATGAGAGTGTTAGTGTTGAGTAATAATGCTACTAGCTCTTAGTTCGCAGTGTACGATGAACTAGAGAGATCGTTGGTTGATTACAGTTCCCCCTCCACCCCTCTACACCCTCTCCCACTCTTCCATTTGTATCCCCTACCAAACTAGCTACTTCACTGCAGAAGAGAGGTATGCTAGATGCCTTCTCAGTCACGCCGGAAACCGACATTAATAGCCACTAACTCGAGTTTACTGCGACGAAGCAGTTGGGTTATGGTAGCCACCATATGAGTAACANTTATCAGAGGGGGCTCAGAATTCTAACCATGTGCATATCTTCGAAACCATTTAGTCGTTAACAGTGCCTTTAAGTCGAAGCTTCTATCCACCCAGACGAGTCTTATACCTAATCGAGGGATCTGTATGAAAGGCAGATTGCTCGAAATATGAAAGCTTGTGATCAACTGGATGTGATAGTTTATTTTTATCCACCATCTGGCTTCTGCAGAATTGTGAATACTTTTTTCTTAACCGTATTAGACAGCTTTGCTGTTGATTTGCTCATTTTGGTGCATTATCAACAGAGGTGAGAAAATAGATTGTTGATTTTATAAGTAAAGTAAAAGTAATACTTGACCAAAGGCTCGGCTTAAGCCGGACAAATGAAGAATGATTTAGATGAAGTTCGCATTAGAAGGATGGTTGCATTCGAGTCTGAGCTGGTTTCACCAGCCTCTCAGCAGTTCTCATTATGTTTATGTGAAAATTTTCTCCATTCTTTAGACTGATATCGGAATTTGCCAATAGTGGTCATCCCGGAAAAATGTTTTTCGCGCAACCCCCATCATTTTCCTTTGTTGCTAATGAACCGGGAGGAGGGCATGAAGGTAGAAGATTGAAACTCAAAGCTTTTAAAATTGCATGACGGTCTCCAATAAATGAGTTCATCTGTGACAGCACACCATTTGCCGTGTCCCTTTCATCATTACGTTCTGTGGGGTTCCTTTGCCAGGAAGAGGAGGCGTAGGAGATTTGTGTCATCTTCTTCTGAATACCTCTTAGCAGCTTTCAGCACTTCCACCACTTCCGTTCTCTGAATCGGGTATGCCTAGAATTTCAATAATTCATGGCTTCTAACATCCGCTACCTGTCATTATCAATCATTTTCATTTCCTCTACATTTTGACTGGGCACGTCGAGATTTCGCGTTTACTAAGAAAAATGGCGATTATTTCCGTCTTTCAGCTCCTCTCACCATCTCATGTTCTCGTGTTGTCTCTATTTTGTAGGTGTGGTGTAATAGTATCAGTCGAAGTTGACCTCTTCAGTAAGGACATCGATTCAATAACATTGATTCAATATTCATGAAGCAGAGATGAGATGGACCCCTTGAAGGCCTTAGAGAATCAATTGCCAGCAGGACTTATGCCCTGTCTTCTGTCACTGAAATCGTTCCCATTTATCAGGTCCTAATCGAATTTTCTCGTAACAAAGCTAATCATTCGGGTAATGTTCCGTTAAACCGAGGAGCAAACATCGACCGACAACCAATCAGACGCATTTGTGATGTTTCTGCCTTGAAATAACTATAATCCAGGTAAAAGCTGGCATGCAGTGATCTGGTTCTGTACGATCCGAAAGCGCGTCTACCCTATTTTCATTATATTTTGTTACCAACAACCATTTATTCCCCTTCCCCTTGCCCCTTCCAAAACTAAGTGTGCTAGTCCCGTGTCAATGATACTATTGTGACTGTCCGTTCCAGAACACGAATGCACAGTAACTTACCGTTGATTTATAACGAATCAGATATAACTGGATTAATTCTTGATTTTATAGGACCGGTGACGACCACTACTGACGAGAAGCTCGCATTCTACTCATTTTACAAACAAGCTACTATCGGTCCTTGCAATACTCCCAAACCGAGTTTCTGGAATGTGGTTGAAAAATTCAAATGGTCGGTAAAACCTTTTCATACAGGAAGCCACTGGTTCTTATAGTTAGTAGCAAGTTTTTAGGGATGCTTGGAACAACTTGGGTACGATGGAGGCAAACGAAGCCAAGGCTGCTTATGTTCATCGGCTGTTGAAGAAGATCAAAGATGTCAACAAGGAGTACGATACTGGTGTCAGTTCTATTCCTATTGAAGATACATATAGTCAGCATGTTTTCAGGGTATGCTTGTTAAGTGTTATTCAAGAAGAGTCAGTGAATGATAGATGATAGAGAGCTGTACTCATTCCCTTCTGAACGCTCTCGAATCGCTATATTACAATTGCATAATACTTACCATGACCACATTCTCGCTGCTCAGTCCAGAGTGTGCTAGTGCGACTCGGTGATTGGCAGGTGTAGCTCACATTCAAGGCTCCAAAGCGTTCGGCATGATTGTGATGTTCTTATGGTAGNGTTCATCGGCTGTTGAAGAAGATCAAAGATGTCAACAAGGAGTACGATACTGGTGTCAGTTCTATTCCTATTGAAGATACATATAATCAGCATGCCTTCAGGGTATGCTTGTTAAGTGTTATTCAAGAAGCGTCAGTAAATGATAGATAATAGAGAGCTGTACTCATTCCCTTCTGAACGCTCTCGAATCGCTATATTACAATTGCATAATACTTACCATGACCACATTCCCGCTGCTCAGCTCAGGGTGTGCTACTGCGACTCGGTGATTGGCAGGTGTAGCTCACATTCAAGGCTCCAAAGCGTTCGGCATGATTGTGATGTTCTTATGGTAGGCTCTAGAGCAAATATTGGGTTGTAAAAATTAGCTTTTTGGAAAAATCGAAATTTCCTGCTATGATTCCAAGGTATATCCAAGGTTCATTGAGGGTTCACAGACAAAGCATCTTTTCATGAAAGAAAGGGTATACATTTTTGATCTTATTGAACCACTAAGAAGATTTTGGTCGTTGGTAGAGGGGAGTTTTGTGGTTGATATAATTGTTCCCGTCTTTCTGTTGGAAATCGACGGCAGGGTTCTTCGGACTTGTTTTCTATTACTAAGTGCCAATTTCGAAAGTTGAAATGCCAGTGCTCCCCAAATCCGGTATTTTTCAAACTGAGATAATTTTGAAATAAGTCGACACGCTCAAGGAAGAGCAGAATTTCCAAGTTCGTCTTTGGATGTACGACATTACCATCTGTGCGAAATGCAGACCGACCACCAACGAACTCGTCCCTCTTACCATCGAACAGGAATGAAATCATGGAAAAAATTCTGTACCGTGTAACTTGCACTAAGCAATCATCCTTAGTAGTTGATCTGGGCGAGTTTGAACCCTGACCTTTTTTTATGCAGCTTTACTTATAGCCCACTCGACTTCCTGTCGAAGCTTCTTCGTCAGTCGTGAATCCTTTTGATCCACTACATACTCTTCAATGATTTGGGTCACGCTATTTCAGAGCTGTTTTCGAACACAGAAAAATTGAATTATTAAAAAAATCGAGTTCAAAACGGGTTCACTTTCTAGGAATGGTTACAAGGTGAGCTTTACGAACGATTAGTGCCGAAATTTGCTGTGATTGGACTTTATCCCTACGATCGGCAACTCAGACCAAAGCTTCCATCAGACGAAGAGGATACGACTACAGAAGTTGCGGTGAAGCGCCCAGAAACTGTACGCTCTCTTTCTACCCTTCGATTTGATTTGCGTAGTCAGCCCTACGAAGATGGTCTTTGGTTGTTTCAGATAGGCGAAGAAGAACTTCTGTCAGACGGCTCATTTGATAACAGCACTTCAGATGTGTACCTGGACGCCAATGATAAGAAGCATAGCTCGAAGTACAGTTATTACCTTTTATTGTTAAAGTCAGAGGCGAAACATAACCACCCACCCTACTGATTATCCGCATGGGATATTGTTTCGTCCCTTTAGTTGGTTAGGGTGAGGACACTGCACGAACCCTACAACGCCTTTGAGTAGGCTTCACTGAGGGTATTGCAGAAAGCAAGACTGTTTCCGTTTGAGCTCATGTAGGAAACTTGTGTCATAGTGGAAGGGCGTTTGGATATATTGCGGTGTTAGAATCCTCCCTTGTTCTCACGGTTCCCTAACTTGGGAACGTGACGGGTAGTTTGCCGTCCAATAGAGACATGGCGCGCTGCGATTCTTAGCTAGTTGCCTCGCCGCGCGCCGTCTCTCCATTGAGAATATGATAGTTGTCTCGCGATGCTCGTCCCGTTGGAATCATGACCGTTGCTACCATCCCGAAGTAGGGCTCATGAAATGGTTTAGGTTTTTTCCATTCTCTCTAAGACTCCCTGTACTGGCGTCTCTCGAATATGACAATTCCAGGGCGTCGTCGCGTCATTCCTCCTCGTCACGCAACTTCGATCCTGAGCCACGAGACAGAAGTGACAGTGACATACTGAAGAGGTACACGTCACGAATAGAAGGCGAACTTAAGGTTTGTAACTGGCTATCGGGTAGGCAATTGCTTTCTCATTGTTGATTTCATGCGGATTTCAGGTCATCTCACGACAAATCTCCCATCTGAATGCAGAAGCCGAACATAGGCATTGCTCCCTGAGAAACATGTTCAAGCGAGCGGTATAGTGATATTTATTTTGAGCTTTTTCCCAATCTACTGGCTGCTTTCATAGTTCGCCGTCGGCCCGCGAGCGAGCGGGCGATTGGGGCGGCGCTTGCCCCTTGTTTATAGCTGAATCTTGGTCGATACCGCCGAGCGAGTAGTCCCACGGCACGCTCGCGCGCTCGCTCGCGGACTATGAAAGCAGCCACTGAGGAGCACGAAGTAGATGGTCACAAAGGGGTTATGGTAGGTTAGAAGGAGCTTGTTTCAGGGAGGGATAAGCTACACTAGTAGCCAATCATTTGGGAGACGATTTCGACGATGGCATGGGAAGTGGGGATGCAAGTACCTCATGGAGGTGTTGGGGTGTACAGCCACTTTCCTTAAAGGTTTATAATGATTGACCAAGCAATAGGGACCATTCCTGGTAAATACCAGTTAAATGTGGCATTTTCCTTTTAAAACTGAAATGTTTCAGACATTCCGCTTATTTGCACCCCAGAGGATTTCGTGGAAAGCGATCGTGATCCTGATCGTGTGGCCATTCGTAGCCAATATGCTTTGGAAGATGTTCAGAAATCTTATCGGAATTTAACTATACAAATAAATGCATTCGAGATGAGATACTCTATAAAATCCAAACCTACAATGTGTTCTATGTTGAGCTGATACCTGTATAAGGCGATCGTTAACAATGGTAAGTGATGGCAGTGACGGTAAAAAGGCAAAAACAGATGTAGTGAAGGGGAAAAAGGAGAAACGACACACTAAAAGAACTGTACAACATTCGAATCAACGTATCAATAACGATATCCATGATTGTCGTGTGGTGGTCCTTGATTGTGACCATAATCCCTGTAATCGACCCTTTGATCCGGGTAGTAAGGTTCTCGGCGAGTGTCGGGTGAGTAGGCGTACGTGGACGACGATCCACCGGGATAGCCTCGGGAGTCATACTGGAAACAGGTTCGATTATAATACCAAGGTGTCGAATAAGACCGAGAAAAACTGCCCGAACCAAGTTGTTTTCCCATCGTAAACAACGAGATCACTTCAGCAATAGTTGTAAGTAATGTGTCTATTGGTCGTCTCACCACACATCAGGGGGAATCTCTGGTTTTGCCTGGGTTTTTGTGATAACATTCGCCATGCCCACATTACAGGGCATAGTACAGTACGGAGAAAAGTAAGCACAATACGACTCTTTACGAGCCCAATGAATAGGCCTGCCTGGCGACAAGCTATTATATGATCAGTCAACGGCGAAGATATGAGCGTGATCGAGTGGAAGTCACTGATGCTGTGGGTAGAGTAAAGCGGGAAACGTCGAGTATCGCGCCAGAGTAAGGGTACTGCCTAAGTAGGAGGTTTGCTCGCGGCTCATTTCTGCTGTAGTTATAAAGAATTAATTTCTGTGAAATTGAAGAGAGCTTGAAGCTAGAGACTTTGAAGAAGGATGGAGGGGAAGTCAGTCTATCTAAATCGTCCTTTGAAGGGGGATTTCTAAAGAGAAAACAAGTAAAACCCTCTTGACAGTAGTACACTGTACCAGTGGAATACGAAGGACATTACAGGGGCATTAAAAAGAGCTCAGAAATCATTGGAAAAAACTTCGCGACAATTTAATGTACCCAACAGTTGACCACTTTTCATTACTAAAAAACCTCTCTTGCGCTACTTTTCCAGGAAAATGAATGAAATCCGCTCGTAACATTAACCACATCAGCAATGAGACCCATTCATGAATGCATCCGTATAAGTTTGAAATTTACAGAGGCAATGAGAGAAAATTATTCGACCTGTCGGTGGAATCTACACTAAACCACGATAATAAGCTTTTTGCCAGTGCTTTGAAGATATATGATTGTAGCGTAAAAACAGCGGGTCTATAATTGAGAAGAAGAAATTATATTGTTGGAATTACAGTTAAAAGAGAAAGATCTGAATTTAGTCATTATGGAGGAAATTCAAATTGAGGATGTTCGAGTTTTCTGAAGATGATCTCCTATCACAGGGAGTGGAAAAACGCATGAATCTCCTAATCCTCTAATCTACCCGATCCACCTTTATTTTCCAGAAATAATCAATTTTTCTGTGACCCATAATGTGAAAAGGAGTCTGTACGAAGAGCANGCACACTTAGCAAAAAACAAAAATATAACCGAGATCAGAAATCATTAGGGCCCCCTAAATTTCTGTAGAGGTTATCGACTACGAGGAGTCGTTTGAGAATGGTTTCGTTACGGTATGTTCTTTAGTTATCTTTGAAATGAAAAATTTCGAGTGTGAACATACTTTTGAACAGGCAACTGGGCCGCTCTTTTTCATGCATTGCTAGTTTCATTCAAGACCCTGGCAGCTATCGCTCACAACCTATTCCTGGCCGTCCACCTATTTTGACTGCAACAGGAGAATAGCCCATCTTGTGGCGAGTACTTCTTTGTCTGTGAGTCAGGCCCGAGCTCAGATGAGATTATCAGTCTCCGTACGACCGTTTGGCGCCCTATCCGCTCCGATGAGTATATCACACGAGAGACGATAAAGAAGGCTACTCGACACAATACTGGCCACAAGCTGACAAGGCTGGAGTTTGCTCGCCCAGACCAGGTTGTAAGGAGTGGCCCACATACCAGATCTCTAATTTCACTTCAACGGAGCTCCAATAAATGTGGCTAATTCTAGAAATAACTGAACAAACTCACAGGTCCATCGATAACGATTCCATTCCGCCGGTTGAAAATTCGTTGGTATTTTGCAATGATGATCATCAATAGAGATATCTGAAAGGTTGCATTTTCAAAGGAAACCCTAATCATCATAACAGCATCTCACTTACATGGAAGAATTGCAATCCAAGGAAGAAGATGCCGGTAGCGATTCTAGCCAAATTACCCTATAAGCATTTAATTGAGTATGGCTGGTTTTTTTCACGTAAAAGGTAATGACAGTACTAAAGAATGAGATTCTGTCATAAAATGTCTCAAATTATCTTGTAGGAATTCGCAAGTTGTCAAGGGCTACCCAAAAGTGGAGCGCGTCAGCAAACTGTGTCCTCGTACTACTAAAAAAGTTTACTACCATTGAACCGATCATAACCTGATTTGAGGTCGAGTCAACACCGGCGGAACCCAGTCACGGCCATTTAAATAGTATTTTTCAACCCAATTCTGCGCTCACATTAACAAATGGAACGGCAAACTAAAAAGTCTTTGGAATTTCTAGAATAATTATAATCAAAAATGAAGGCAAAAATGGCGTGGTTACGCCTCCGTATGACCCAGCAGCCTACTCGAGGAACAGGAAACTGGTTGAGCTAGTGAGGCAGATGAAATTTGTACTGCAACTACTTAAATGAGTGGTTTTACGGTTTTGGACCACCAACACCGAAGGAGATAAATAATTTAGCTCCGGTCATGTAAGGGATAAAGGGCACGGTTCCCAGAACGCATAAGCCCGGGTTTGAGTCCCGTCTGAGGCCGAAGTTTTGCCCATAATTTGCCAATTTTGTGAGAATGAATGATGTTTTCGGTATTGTTTTGCTCTTCCAAGATAAGATCTGTACGTAGGATAGCGTTTAAGAATTTCTAAGGTGCTCGCGTACCTCGAAATAGGGAAATGGTATTTTTCAACCCAATTCTGCGCCCACATTACCACGTGGAACGGAACATTGAAAAGTCACAATTTCCAGTATAATTAAAATCGAAATCGAAGCGAGTATGGCCCGATTCGGCTGTCGTATGACCCAGCAGCTTGCTCGATAAACAGGAGACTGGTCGAGCTAGTGGGGCAGATGAAAGTTGTGCTACAACTACTTAAATGAGTGGTTTTACGGTTTTGGACCACCAACACCGAAGGAAATAAATAATCAAAAATGTGAAGGCTAACCGGGCTTCGGTAATGTGTGGAATAAAGGGCACGCCTAGAAAGCACAACTTCGAGGTCTGAGTCCCGTCCGAGTTCGAAGTTTTGCCCATAATTCGCCAATTTTATGACTATGAACAATGTTTTCGGTACTGTTTTGCTTTTTCAAGATAAGATCCGCACACACGACAGTGTTTAAGAATTGTTAAGGTGCTCGCGTACTTCGGAATAGAGTTAAGAGGGCTTGCTGACTTGACTGCATGCGTTACTAGTACTACTCAAAGTGGTCTGCTAGTCAGTTATCGATTACAATCGATGGGAGGTTTTTCAAGTGCTGAGTTCTTGATATGCTGGATTTTGCCCTTTGAATTCAAATAATCTTCATGGAATGCCGTTCTAAGCTTCTATCATTGATGTTTCAACAAAAAAAACTGCTGAAGCCACCCAAGCCACCCAGGACCGGAACGAATTCCTCTGGACGCACTCTAAAAAGGTTTTTGCTGCATCTAGCCTTTTTTGTAAAGTTTTAATCGGTCAACATTTGAAAGAAAATGGATACGAATTTTATGAACCACAAAAACTTGTTCCTAATCAGTGATGGGCGCCCAATCAATGATGGGTAAACAAACCATACGTTTTCATCTGCTGGTTGATGGTTAATGATGATGGTTTAGCCTACTTGTTGGAAGAGGAACTTCATGACAAATACGGTCGCGTTCAACACAAAAGTGATGAGCGAGTTGCGGATATAAGGTATCATACCCAACAGTTTTTATAGGGAATTCACGTTGCAGCCCAGTCAAGGTTGCTGAACTTATGCTGAACGGTGACGAGAAAAAACCGAGGAAATAAAAACCGACAACGTTTCGCTATCAACACCTGCAGATCACAAAAAGATGAAAAATCTCTCAACTTCATCAAATTCAGAGATAAGGACGGGATTCATGCTCAGCACCAATATGGTTGGTTACTACAGTCCTCCTCTTACAAGGTCCAAGACGTCGCATTCATCAACATGCTTTCTTAGATGATAGGTTCGTACTTATTCCAATGTAGAACCTCCCTCTCCAGCATGGGTCAGCTGGTTCCGAGCAACAGAAAAAGACATATCTGGTCATAGCATCTGAAGGGATGATGAGCATCGTGGCCTGGTCATCTTTTTAGGAACCATATCCATGTTCCTCGCTAATGAGAATGATCGGAGAAAAGGAAAAAACTTCGAAAAGCTGACCGGCCGTGAAAAGTCTACACCTCCTTGACTAAACGGAACTCATTTCACCATCCACCCGTTCATTTCGCGTTATATGGTGGACGTCAGTCAATTGAGGAATCGTTCCTTCGTCGAGAAAGAATCGCTGCATGAATATGATCCGGAACTATACAAAGAGTCTTTTTGAAAGTAAACTCTCCACGAGGTGTCCCAAAATTATCGAGTGGCGAGTGCCTCTTCATTACATAGAACTCCGAGCTTTTAAGCTGAGAATGACTATAAAATCTGAACTTATGTCCACTTACATCATGCATAACAAGGTAAAATCAAATTTCTGGATGTCCTCATTCGATAGAATACAGGCTCAAATTTCTTTTAACCCAAATGCACAGCCCACGTAGATATCCCACGTTTTAATTTTTAATTTAATTCTTCCCAGGCATTCTTCAGGCCTGCTTCCAAAGACCCCATGCTGGGATAACAAACCCGACGAACTTTCCTTCAGTTAGCGATCACACTGAAGAACCAGCAGGGTAAAGATTTTTCTAAACAGGATGCTTCCTGCTTGGAAGGTCTTGACCATTCCATTTTCGATGCTAACGATGAAGTTGGGCAGCTCGCGTAGGTTGCCCGTCTTCCGCTCTCTCCCCAAACCTCACATTGCTATTTTTATCAACGAATATTCCGTGAGGGAGAGTACTATCAAAGTTTGAACTAATGGAAAATATCGAGCTGTCCTGAAAACCCTATCAAGTAGTTCTAACAAGGTTTGTGTGAAGTTCGTTCAGCCAAGCATCCCAAACCAGTTGCCAACAATCACACGGCCAGCGTTTGCTGCGTTTAATCAATCACTTTCCTGAACGCCACGACGACGTGCTCCGACGGACGCTGTTGGGCCCTTTTATGGCTTATATTCACAAGTTAAGGAATGAGGGACAGACACATCCTTGATGGTCCGGTATACGTTTGCTTATAACCGTACTCTGAGGCGGCGGAAAGTTTAGTAATTTCGTTTTAAGCTAAAGTAAGGTATGGAACTTCGGAAGTGCTCAAGCCAAAACCCTCATAAGTGAAAGTCAAAGTTGAAATCGAAAAGAGGAAGTTCATGGTCTATCCTCTGAAAGTATGTGATTCCAATGCTATTGCGTGTCACAGTCCACTTTCGATTTCATGATTTTCCGAAAGTCGTCGATTAAGATGGAGGTTTTCAGTGGATGTCACTCAGCGCCCGCTACATGAATAACAAGACCCGCTGTATTTACGACTATTGTGTCAATTGAGATCAAGCAAAGGAATTACTCGGCACATTCGCGCTTCGTTTTGGTAATGACCTGGTATGGGATCCGGAGCGGTGATAGAATCATCTCAAGCACCACCTTGAAGAAAAGGGGCCTTTTAGCGGATGTGTAAAATGAAAATGGGAGGTCTTACTTTTCGCAAGATTCCAAAGATTTAGGATGCAAGAAATTCAGATCAAAAGTCATGAACCCCAATTCAGGATAATTGCCCTGAAATTAGCTTTCGAAAGATGAACTACTGGTGCGTGCAGATCACCTTCCAGGCTACAAAGGCAATAGAGAATCATAATTCTTATTCTTCCAAACTATCCTCGCCCAATTTAGTTTACTCGGTCGTGATGGTTAACCTGGCGGACCATTTCGTATCTTGAATTGTGCAACTCCCCAGCGCTGTTCCCCTTTCAAGGTTATTCCCACTTCACGCTCATTGGGGCGGAAGTCTGTCGCAGTTGTCAAAGGTTGGGGTAAGAGCCTGGTCTCAAGTACGCAAAGTTTTCCAAAATTAAGATGAAATTGTCTTCTCCGATCTCTAAAAACAGAGGGTGAATGGCAAAAAAAATCAGCCTCAATCGATTCCCCTTCAATCCGGTCCCGGGATGCAACCGACCTTGCGACATTTTTTTCCAAGTCTAATTAGCTCATTTGATTGAGGTGCTTGATCCTCAGAGTGAGGGCGGGTGGACGCTATGAAAGCCATTGGTTCGATCTTGCCACTCAAATCTGATTAATCGATTTCGGAGGAATAGATGAAATGTATGTTTGGGGTGGTATTGGATTCGGCTGTGGACCGATCCTCTTTCAGGGACACAGCTTAGACCAGCAGAAACCAAGCTACTAGTAACTATCCCATCTTACCCTGAGATTTTGACGCTTGAGTACTCATCTCTCTCCTTTCTTATTGGAAAGTGAATTCAGATCAGTCGATTCAATCTAAGATCATAATCTCAGCACCGCCACTCTGAATCAAACTGATGGTCCAGGCTCGGGAGAGGCGTTACAACATCAGAAACCTGGTACGTGATCGTTAGCAGCCATTATCTGGAAGGGTTGGCAGGGAGATAAAAGTTACTATGTAGTCAAGCGATTGCCTTAGCTGTTAAAACTCTGATTGCGGGAAAACCTATATGAAAAGTATCTGCTTAGGGAAGCCACGTTCCACCTACAACGACCTTTTCAAACGTGTGGCGCATCTTTACGTGGGAAGGCTGGGGCTGCCGACCTTATCCCATATCGTTCATCATTTCTTCTGCGCATCATTCTTCGCTCATTTGGCGTGAAACCGTTTATCAGGGCAGGAAATTAGGGATCCTGTTGACCTAGGAGGCTTCAGTTTTTCCTAGTGATTAAGTATGTCAGATCACCTCTACGTTAAAGAGATCGTCAACTCCCGACGCCTATTGCTCTAGATTTCTTGTGTTTTTATTTGATACCGCACAACATCCAGTAGGGTGACAAAAGGCTATTCATCAAAGTCTTTTTCACCTCGTTTTCGGTCGACAGACTTGGAAAAACCTCAGATTTCGCATCGATATCCGCTATCCGCCCGCTGAACGTCGTAAATTCCTGAGGTGCCAGCGAAACCGGAAAAAAGCCTACATGCTGATCCGTTGATGTTGCGCACATCATGGTGTTGCCCACTTGAATGGATATATCGATGACTGTACAGCACTTCCCCAACCGGTTGCCCCAATCCGTGTTGGGCTGAGCGCTACGCTGCCTACCTTACGTAATCCGCCGCAGCGACTGGAACGACTGCAAAATGGTCCCGATTGACGGGGATTTTGTGCAATGCGACTGGAACGTCTCCACTTCCAAGGAATGACTCGATGGTGACCCAAAAAAGCGGCAGATTGCCGTGCAAATTCTGTCCTTTGGTGACCGCGCGGAAGTGGACAACGGTGTCCGGAAATTGACCATTCGGTGACGAATGAGGAAACAAGGATGTCTTTGGGTCAAGTTGTGTGTATTCGATGTGATGGCATAGCAATAGAGGGAAGGCAAAGCAGGTTTTACGTTTAGAAGACCACACCCCACCATTGTGTGAAGGCCAATTGCGGCTGCCGCTGTAATGAATCAATCGCGGATGGTAAGGGAATGGATGGCACGTACATAGCTGTAGATGAAGATGAACAGCACAGAAATTAAGCCTCGAATGATGTCGATAGCCATGATGACGATCCATGGTACCAGTAGCCACTGGTTGTAGACGGACAGACCTGTAATAGCGATTCTAAAACGGCAAGGCCATCAGAGAAGAGGTACGAACTCACCAATGAGTAGGAGAATTGAGGCAAGAACCATGCCGATGTAGATTAAGATGTCAATCACCAAAAGGGTATAGCGTACTGCAAAGAAGAGATCAGATTTCGAAGGGGCAAACCAAAAAATGCCAGAAGGGAAAGGCTCACATCCGGCTTCATACTTCAGTTCTTCTGTATAGAGCCCGAATGAGCAGTGGTACGTCGTCGAGTCTTCCACCACCACGGTTGTGTGTCCCCCATGGAATGTGAGCTTGCGATTCTCTGAAGCCCTTGCATTCCAATTGATTTCTCAGCCTGAAGAGGACGGGTACCCACCTGATGGCAGTTTTCCTTGTGCCTCCAGTTCGCAACTGCGAAAATGAGACGCATCGCCATTATTCACGGTGTCGGATAATCCCCACGCAGCCAGTCCCAGTAGAATAGAATATAGAATCTAGAAAGCACTGTAATTATTCGAACCATGTAAAAGAAGCACAAGGAACCTACGGCGAATAAGTGAAAAAACGAAAATACCGGGTTCTGGTGCAATGACGTCAATTAAAGACCATGTTTACAGGAAAAACTCTATTTGGAAAAACTTGCCAAGGAACATGGCTACCAACTCACCAAGGTGTAAAGGGCGACGAATACAGTGGCTAAGGATAATCCGCAACAGAAGCAACTGCGAATCTGTACTTCGACTTTAGCCATGGCTGTGGTTGACGGTGAATGGCGTCTCCTCGCTTGCCTCGATGGCCATACTGTCTGTCAGTCGTATTCCGTCGCAACCCTCTGACTAAACGCACAGTATCGTTGTTTTCTGACGAGGACCCTCCTCTGTAACGTTGTCTCTCGTTCGGTCGTCGCACTGACTGCAATCATTGACGACGACTACGACGCTCCCAGCCGCGACCACGCCCAAGGACAAATCGTCGGGTGGAGAAACCCGTGCGGTAAACAAGGTATAAACAAGGTATTTCAGAGGTGCGAGCATCGCCATAAGTGCGGGTGAGAACGGCAATGAGTGTGTTCATTTGACGTTTACATCGCGGGAAGCTAGCGCCCATTTGGCTGGATTTGGCACCCCGGCAGTGTCGCTGGAGATGACTCAAGGAGCTGAACATCGCTAGGCTGATGGTTTGCACTAACTTGGATAACACCCCGACGCGACCAGAGGTGGGTAGAATCGGCTCGTGACAAATTCAAAATCCTCTGACCACTACGCAAATCTCCGACCAAAATAGTGTTTTGGTAGATTAGGTTCTTCCGCTTGAACTGCGCCATGGATAGCTACAGATTACCGAATCGCAGAAGCGTTCCGAACGGCCTAAACCACTGCCTGTGATATGCAACTCTATTCAGACAGAAAACTGACAAACTGAAAACCATTTAGAAAAAGAGGTGATTCTTCAGC